ATATATATAATATAAACTTGACATGTATTCACCCATCATCGGGTTAGAGCTTGCACTACCCACACGACATGTAGCACACTAATTTAAAGCTTAATAAATTCTGCATCATCTGACATATTAGTTAATGAATGTTTCATCTATGACAGAAGTCGTCTGCGATATTATGGCCACCCAAAACAGACCTTTTAAAAATCATGACTGGCAAAATTGTGTGGAATAAAAAAAAATATGTTAAAGTGTATTGCACTTCTATTTAAGTACGAGATTAACATTGATGGAATGAACATGTATTGCAGAGCTAATTGATGGGGAATATTATTGTATTTGCAATGTTTTAGTGCGGTATTTTCTGACAGGTTAGAAAACAGAGCCGTCACAAATACAAAGCAAATCTTAAACTTGGCGTTAAATGTGTTTATTATTAGTATTTTGTTTACGAGTCTTTAGTATCGTGTAGAACACCATCGAGAGCATCCCTCTTTGAGTATGGACTGTGTTAGATTTTGGACTTCATTATCTATCACTAAGGTCCTGAGATAACGAAATTGTCTTGATTTAGGGTGACCTGGCTGAGGTGTACAAAACCGCACGCGTGAGAATCAACGCAAAGCTTAGTATTAAGGATAACAGCGCAAGTGCTGGGATACACGCCGTGTCCTTATTTTAGGCATGATAACATTCAAGTAGACGTATGTGGGTGGTTGGCGGGTGCTCTGGTGTGGTTTGCTCTTTCTTCCCTTTCAAACATCTATCGTCCTTATCTCCCCTTCTTTTTTATGTCTGTTACTCTCTTGTAACACTTCTAATCTTCTGGCGCTCATATGACCTTATGCAGTAGCGAGCGCCGTAAAACCTCTACTAAAACAAACAATGTTTAGTCCTGACAAAGCACCTTCTCACAGGGTCATTGTCTTTAGAAAAAATTTTAAAGAGCAAATCAGACCATCCAACGACGAGGTGGTTATCAGTAAATAGCCCCGGAATGAATCCTATAGATAATTAATGTTTTTACCCAGAGAGAGCCCCATGAGACAGCCGCTGAAGAAACGCGACTTTGTTCCCAGTTCATGCGCTTTGTTTGTAACTCTCTGTGACATTTGAGATGAAATAACAAACAAATTTGTACAAAATGTGACACAGTCTATCCCCAAAGCGTTCGTTCTCTTCACAAAACCAAGGTCTCCTAAACGTAACAATACTAATGAACACTTTGTAGTGTTAAGTCCAAGTTTTGCGTGGTATTTGTGACTGCACTGTTTTCCAATGTTTCAAAGTATAGTAATAAAGTATTATTAAAATGTTTTTTGCCGACAAAGAATTCTCCATTCATTTAAAATGCAATGCTTGTCCATTCCATCAATGTTGAAGCACCCCTAATATAAGTGCTAACACTTTTACGTTTCTTTAATTTCGCACAATTTTGCCAAGCATGATTTTAAACGTTTGATTTTTGAGTATCCATAACATCTCGAGCGACTCTTATGATAGATTGATAGTTATTGTGTCAAGTTAGGCAGAATTTATTTAGCTTTAGATTAGTGTGCTGCATGAGTGCAAGGCTTCAACACGATGATCGGGTGGATACAATTTCAAGTGTCTTTTGGACGCCATTGTGTAATATTTATATCTTCATAGATACACATATAATTATACATCACTGTACACTTTGCACATTATACATGCATTATATATATATATATATATATATATATATATATATATATATATATATATATATATATATATATATATATATATATATGCGCACTACATGTGTCGACTTAGACCACACTTAATTAAGAGTTTTAAACAATGTTACGATAATTACATTTCAAACGCTTGGCGTAGCTAGTGAGGTTGTGTTTCCAGTTGATAAAATAGTCGTATATGCCTTTAGTAATAGATCATTACTTAGGGTCTGTACTGATATTTTAAAATATATTGATGAAAAAAAGGTATGTCTTCTTACTCTTTTGGACCTTTCGGCTGCATTCGATACCATTGATCATGACATTTTACTCGAGAGATTAAATACTACTTTTGGCATAAAGGGTACTGTCCTGCGATGGTTTGAGTCATATTTTAAGGATCGAACACAAGCAGTTGTGGTTGGAAACACGTGTTCTAATAATGTTTTGCTTAAATGTGGTGTTCCTCAGGGGTCTGTTCTTGGACCTGTCTTGTTTACAATGTATACACAACCTATTGCTGATATTTTAAGACAATATGGCATGAATTACCATCTTTATGCTGATGACACTCAAATTTATAAGTCTGTTGATTTCGATCAAATCCCACTTTTAGTCGACTCTACTGAACAATGTACTAGAGATTAAAAAATATGGATGACCAGCAATAAATTGAAACTAAATGATGACAAGACGGAAATAATGTTGAGTGGAAATACAAAAGCCATTAAAAATCTCCCAGAGCTACAAATTGATATCAATAACCATACCATTCGTTCAAAAAGAAGTCTTAAAAATCTAGGGGTTCAGTTGGATTATGATATATCTATGTCCTCCCAAATAAGCCAGCTCAGCAAAAGTATTTATTTTAAGCTTAAGAAAATTGGCAGTGTAAGAAATTATTTAACTAAAGCAGCAGCCAAGACACGTGTAACAACACTCATTTTATCAAAGTTAGATTACTGTAATGTTATTTTGTCCAGTTTGACATCCCAAAAACTATCAAAGTTACAAGTACTCCAAAATCAAGCAGCAAAATTGATAATGAAACAAAAGAAATCAGCCCACGTAACACCAATTTTGAAAGAACTACACTGGCTGACAATAAAAGAAAGGATTAAATACAAAACTGCCATTCTCTGTTTTAAATGTATAAATGATAGTGCACCTTTTTATCTTAAAACATTCCAGGAATTATATAATCCACCTAGAGCCCTTAGATCAGCCTCTGACAATCTAATTCTTAAAACTCCAAAACAAAATTACAAAACATACGGCGAGCGTTCCTTTTTGTTCTTTGGTCCCCAGGTATAGAACGAACTAACATATAAAATAAGATCTGCCCCAACAATTTCCATTTTCAAAAATCAGCTGAAGCATTTTTTATTCACAAAAGCATACCTGTCATAATGATGTACTGTGATATATATGTATGTGTATGCCAGACTGTGAGACTGAAGAAATAGCGAGTGAGAATGCGAGAGAGAGAGAGAGAGAGAGAGAGAGAGAGAGAGAGAGAGAGAGAGAGAGAAAGAGAGAGAGAGAGAGATAGAACGGAAATGTTTTTCTATCTGTATAGAATTAATGTTTTAATGAATGTTTCTAGTTACTCACGTTTCAACTTTATTTTGACTGTTCGTGAATTTTTATTGCATTGTATATTTTTAGTGAACACATTTTCAACCTCACTGCGAGACTGTTTTTCTGGTATAAAATTTTACACATATGCATTTATATTATATGTATAATACTTTGTTTTACGTACACCTTTGTGTCGATTAATTTTTAAGATGTGATGTCTTTTTCATTGTAATGCGCATTGAGCATCTTTTAGGAAATGGAAATGTGCAGTATAAATGCTATTTATTATTATTATTATTATTATTATTATCTTTTATAGTGTCCCAATTTTATTATTTCTTCATCAATACAAATGATAACAGTTTTTAATAAAAGCTGGAGACACAGCTTTCAAAATAATTAGTCAGTGGCAGTGGGGCGTTTCCTTGTGCGATATACGATAACCGATAACTCTTCTTGTATCTACGCAGTCTTCAGTTACAGGATATCTAAGATCTATAATGTTATTATTGTTGCAATGGTTATCAAAGATGGAACGATGACACATGTAGGCTTACCGAGATCTGCCATCGGACCTAAAATCGCATTAAAACAATATACCGCCAAAAAGAAAATAAGAGTCGGCGAAAATCCCAAACTGAAACAAATTAATTTAAGACTGGATTTTTCCAGATTTTGCTTTTGGACAGCTCTGTTCGTTATAAGTCTACTATTTTAAAAGGCATGTCGCCTAGCCTACTTCATTTAGCCTCGGTGCGCTACAACTACAAAACCACGGTTTGGTCGTGTTGTTCAGTGATCTATTCCATTTACCAAAATCCCCGTGAGTAGTAACAAAAAAATAAATAATAATCTGCAATGTTACTCCTGTTGACGTCGATCTTTTTTTAGAATAGATCTAGCCTACTATATATACATAGTACGTGAACAGAGGCTTTTGGTGCATTATGTCACGACTTATCACATGTGGTCCCATAAGAGTCATAGAGAGTGGAAATTCCTGCATAGTAGTTCAAGTTAGTTCCGAATGGAAGGCTCAAGAAGTATTTTACTTTTACCACTTAATGTTGATCCCGTCCATGTAGGCTAAATTATGGTTTGCTATTTTGACCATTTTTAAAGAAGCTTCTTCAACAATATAGACTGCAAAGCGCATAGAGAGCTTGTTGTTGACCGGGAATTCACGCTGTACAAATGCTATCTATTTGTATGATTAATAATAATAATAATCATCATCATAATAATAAACACATGTAATAAACTTTCAGTATAGTCACCTCCTAATTTGACTTCCAGTTTACGCAGCGTTTCCATCTGTCATCGTGGAAAGAACAAAGACGATACATCTCCGTCAGCCTTCAAGCCACGCTAGCTCGGTCGAGTATCCCTTGCCAACTGAAAAACGACATGCACACTACAGCGACACTTTGATCGATAACCAAGTTATCACGTGTTATCACCTACTGAATGGCAAGAGAGTGTGCAACAGAAGATGCATCGCGCGCGCGCGCGCACACACACACACACACACGCACACACGCACACACACGCACACTCACACACATACACACACACACACACACA